AATCGTAGCCATGGCGAGAGAATCCAGGCATGAAAGCAGGGGGCAGGGAGGAAGCCTCTGGCTGGGGCCCGTCCTCTGCCTGCTTAAAGCGAAGGCAAAGGAACTCACGCTTCTTTTGCACCTACTGTGAGCCTGGCATTGCCCTGGACATTTCTCTATGCCCCGATTAGATTCTATCAATACTGCTTTTTTTGACTTTGGAAGGAGCCCTGGTGGCTCAGTGGTTAAGTGCTCGGTTGCTAACCGGAAGGTCGGCAGTTTGAACCCACCTAGCGGCTCCTCATGAGAAAGACCTGGCAATCTGCTCCCATAAAGATTACAGCCTAGAAAACCCCATGGGGTAGTTCTAGTCTGTCACATGGGGTCGCTATGACTTGGCATTGACTCGACAGCAAGGAGGTTGGCTGTTTTGGGGGGTGGGGGGAAGGTTTGTCCCTGAGCAAGCCTCCGAGTCTCTACCGGCCTCTGCTCACCACTCTGGAAAAACGCACCGTGGGCTGCAATAGTTCTAGTGCCCCTTCACCTCGAACATGCTAGACGCTGGTGCTACGCTGAATTCTGTGGATGCCCCCAAAGCAGGTGACAACTCTAGTCGCTCTTGTGAAAAGAGGCTCTCCTGGTTGCCTCTGGCTTCTGAGCCTGAGTGTACCTAGCCGATTCCCCGTGCCCCAGTCAGATGACAGAGCAAGACCGGACTTCCCGGATATTCCGAGGAGGGGAGCGCGGAGGAGGCTGCAATGTCCTTTCTCTGACTAGCCTCCAGTTCTTACTTCTCATACCGCCCTGGGCGTTACACTCGCACCCAAGGGGGTGGTAACAGCACCCTGTTTTTCTTTATGAAAGAAAACCCACACTCTATATACTTACTTGGTGTTTTTGTGTACCACCCAGTCAGTTCCAATAGCGACCCTAGAGGACAGAACAGAACTGCCCCATAGAGTTTTTTGGGCTGTAATCTTTGTGGGAAGGAGCCCTAGTGGTGCAGTGGTTAAGCGTTCGGCTGCTAACCGAAGGGTTGGTGGTTCGAACCCACCAGCCGCTCAGCGGGAGAAGGATGTGGCAGTCTGCTTCTATAAAGATTACAGCTTTGGAAACCCTGTGGGGCAGTTCTACTTTGTCCTATAGGGTCCCTATGAGTTGAAATTGACTCAGTGCCAGTGGGTTTGGGTTTTTTTTGTTTTTTGTTTTCCTTTTTCCAGTCTTTACAGGAACAGATCACCAGGTCTTTCTTCTGCAGAGCAGCTGGTGGGTTCAAACTGCTGACCTTTCAGTTTGCAGCTGAGCACTTAACCATTGCACTGCCAGGGCCTCTACTATTTGGTGTTAGGACTTTTTTCTCACCTGGTTATGATCAGGACATCCTATAAGATGCTAATTAAAGCCCACTAGGCAAATATATGGTAAAGTCTGTTATTAGAGATTCTACGTATCTCTAAGGAACTAAGTTTAATTTCACCTTAAAGCCTATGAATACAATTGCATTTATAAATGCATCTGGGCTATGAGCTTTACCCTAAAGTAGCATCTCCAGCAAGGAAAAGAAGCAGAGATGAACTTTATTCTGTATTTATTCCATGCTTCCGAATGACCTGTCTCCCAGTGCCCAGAATCTGGCTCACACAATCCTGAATACACCTTGTAACCAAATTCCCTTTTTCAAAACTGCTGGCTACAGCTTATATAAGATTGACACACAATCTCTGCTAGAAAAAGCCCTCCCCAGATAAAATGAACAGATACTTCCGTTTACGGTGGAGGATGCCAAAATGGGAAGGAAGCTCTTCATTTTCACATTACTGATTGCATAAATATTTAGTGATTGCAGTCACTTTTTAGAAAAATTGTTCAGCAGTTTAAATAATCAATAATCAACCTCAGGGGTCTTGTGTGTGCGTGTGCATGGGTAGACTTCGGTGGCTCTGAACAAATGGCAATATTTCAGTATTTGTTTCTCATCTTTTAGAAACGGAGTTGTTTCATGGAACCAGAAACATCTCGATTCACTGTAAGAAAACCAAAACCAAACCTGTTGCCGTTGAGTCAATTCCGACTGATAGAGATAGGATAGAGTAGAACTGCCCCATGTCTACAAGGCTGTAATCTTTTGGAAGCTGACTGCCAGATCATCGTGCAGAGAGGCTGGTGGGTTCGAACCACCAACATTTTAGTTAGCAGCCAAGTGCTTAACCACTGTACTACCAGGCCTCCTTAAATGTTACAAGGCTCTCCTTAACCCTTTCACTGACTTTCAATTGTTTTTCAGTCTGTACATACTCAGCACATGCCCACCATCCCTCATGTCTTCACTTACAGGTCAATCATAATTCCCCATATTACTCCAGATTTATATTACTCCTTCCTCTTTTTCAGTGGGTGCCCAGTAAATTGAACTGCATACTTGGAAGGTGCAAACCAATAGGCAGGCCTAAAGGCCTACGTGATTACACTTCGCCCTGGTAGGTATGGGCACCCTGGTGGTACAGTGGTTAAGTGTTCCGCAGCTAGGCAAAAGGTTGGCAGTTCAAATCCACCAGCTGCTTCTTGAGAACCCTGCTGGGCAGTTCTACCCTGTCCTATAGAGTCGCTGTGAGTTGGAATTGACTCGATGGCAATGGGAATGACCTACTTTAGACTGTAACCCACTGATAGGCTATATACTCTGGAGTGTGGCACACACTGAGTTATGCTTTGTGTTGTTCCATCTTGCATGGTATATACTTCTGTGCCCTGGTGGATGGCTGAGGAGCCCTGGTGGCACAGTGATTAAGCGCTTGGCTGCTGAGAGGTTAGCAGTTGGAACCCACCAGCTGATCCTTGGGAGAAAGGTGTGGCAGTCTGCTTCTGTGAAGATTACAGCCTTGGAATCCCTATGGGGCAGTTCTACTCTGTCCCGTAGGGTCGCTATGAGTTGGAATCAACTGGACGGCAACGGATTTGGTAGCTCGTTAAAATAGCAGTGTTCCGAGAACACAGCAACATTTTGCCTCTTTACTCCAGGGAGCAACCTGGCTCAGACCCAGGGAATTTCCTAAGCTGTGGCAAATGTTTGCACTGCTGTTTATGTCTTTGCTTTTAGAAGGGGATAAGAAAATGAACCGACTTGCATTTTTTTGTTTTTGTTGTTGTTGGAGATATTGAAACCACTGTCTGGCTTTTATCTAGTTTTAAAAGGTATTTTAAGGAGCATTTGCAAATGACACAAAGCACAAATACAAAAAAAAAACTTATAAAACTATTATCACAATTCCTTATTAATAAAAGGCAATGGATCATATGTAAGCAACTGGACCCTAGTCAGTTCTAATATAATTTAAGCTGAATTTTATTTGTGCAAATTTTCACTGATACCACACCATCATGTACAAAAAGTGCCTGGCTGGTACTGAAGGAGCTATTTCAGACCCTTTCAGAATGCATGCTCTGCTTGACAGACCTAGATCTGAACTTCCCTCATACACTGTGCGATGTGTCAAAGCAGTTGGCCCCATCTCACTCAAAAATGTCTTTGTCTCTGTGTAGTTTTCAATATTGCTGGATGCTAGTATGTCTGAGCAAAGCATACGATGCCCTAGGCAGTGAGGAAGGAGCCCTGGTGGTGCCACGGTTAAAGTGCTCAGCTGCCAGCCAAAAAAGGTTGGTGGTTGGAATCCACCAGCCGCTCCATGGGGTAAAAGTGTGGCTGTCTGCTTCTGTAAAGGAACCCTATGGGGCAGTTCTACTCTGTCCTACATGGTCACTGAGTTGGAGTTGACTCCAGGTGGTAATTTGGGTTTTTTTAGTTTGGGCAATGAGGGAAATACCTGTTTAGCAGCTCTTGTCACAAGTACTTTTCATCATAACTTTATCATTTAATTCTCAACCCTGTGGAGCCCAACAGACATAAAAAAGATGTCCTTTTTCAGATTTCATTCTAAGAAAATTATAAATAGGGCAAGTATTATCAACACCTTAATGCAAGACCATCAGAATTACAGCAATTAGCCAGCAATAGCTCCCAACCTCTACATAAGTTAGGAAATTGAAATTATTGGAGTTTTAATCAGTATGCCATACCAATGTTTAAAACGCAGTGTTCAGTGCAAAAATTATACCGATTATTTCTTTCTGGATGTTTTAAGAAATTCTTTATACCCCATAATGCTGTTAACTATTTTTCAGCATTATTAAAATAGTTCCTGTAGTTTAAAAAATAACAATCTCCAGTTGTGCCACGATTTTACACTGAATTATCTTAACTGCCTCCCACCTCTGTTTGCTTGAGTTTCGGAGACAGGAGTTTCAGGGGATACTGCTGGAACACTAAACCAACGACGGAAGTTTTCAGATTAAAGTAGGTTTTTATCAACTTTTTCCTGTCAAAAACTGAAGCCAGTTCAACAATTACCCAAATTGAAAAAAACCAAAAACCCTTATCCCCATTCTCAACATCTTAAAAACAAAATAGTAGCCTAGTAGCCATTACACAGCCACTATACACCTTAGCCAAGTTTCCTTCAGGCAGAATTCACTTTTAAACAGATCAAACTTATTGGCAACAGATGTGACAAAGCTAGTGCTATAGCTATAATAGAAACGTCCATGAAAATCAGAGAAAATGGCAGTCATTTCTCCCCTTGGCTAAAAATTTGATTAATTTTAAGACAATTTCAGCATTTTCTACTGAGGTCCCCTCATTTGGCTTTGAATGTTTTCATCTTTTAAATTTCTACCTACCTACCCTGCTTTTTCACTTATATGTGCCTCGCTTTAGAAAATCACTTTAATCCTCAATGTTCTGAAAATAAAACTAATTTTCCTCCTAAGTACATATATACAGTTACCTCCTAAGAGTACCAGGAATATGTGATAAATATTTTCATCAGCCCATTAACCTCTTTTTAACTATAAAGTGATTCTTAAAGTGTGCCATCCTTCCTATTTAAAAGGTGCTGCTAAAAGCTATTGAAAACTTAAAAATAACAAAATCTTAACATTTTTAAGTGAATACCATTTAACTAATATTTAAAACCTCTGCAATTATTAGTTTATTAGTATCATCTGGGACTCAGATGTCAGTATTCCTCCTGAAATTATACATAAACAAATGGAAGAGAATCCAAGTCATCAAAATTATATAACAAAACAGCACTCTATCACAAAAGCGTGTAAATTACAAGAAGGCTATTTGAAAACACTAGCACTTTTAAGAGAACGATCATCTCAAAAACCGCAAAATTGCCAAATTGTTCCCTAAGCTGTTAAACAGGTAAATGTATGACCCTGATAAGTCTGGGTTTTGTAAAGAGAAAAATCAAATCTGAATAAACTAATCATTGATACTGAGACATGAACTTTTTCTTCTTTCATGTTTGACTTATAAAGGGTCAAACTACAATATAGGAAAATAGACCCTATTTTAAATGGCATGCTTTTAAAGGCTGACCTGATTTAAAATGTCTAATTATAATGGAGAATCTCTAGTTTTCCTGAACAGTCTGTATTTTGATAAATGCGAAGGCATTTATAGCCAGTATTTTCATACAGCCTTTGCAGGGTCAAGGGTCAACAAAATACTTAATATGGCCATCTTGCATTTTAAGCTCACGCTTTTGGGGATGCATTCTCAGGCCTTCTTTAATGTGGAAACCACAAATATAACTGCCATTACATGGTAATGGGAGTTAAAAGAATGTAGAGTCCTCATGTAAAGACTGGAACATATCTTTCTATTTAGTCCTTCAAGGACAGACTTTCAGAGTGTTTGGTTCTAATAGTCCCATCCTGTGACTGTACTGGTTACTCTTCTCTTTGAAAATGCGGTAACTGGGCTATGTGACTTTGTATCAACTGACCAAGATTTTGAGTTTCACTTATGGATGAAAACTGTCTCAATTCAACTACTGCCCCCATCATGAGTACGCAGGGTGTGTAGACGAAAGCTTTTGTTATCAACTAACTATATGAAAAGACGATGGTGTAAATAGTTCGTGAGACCCAAAATGGGCAAAAGCAAAAAAGACTAGCTTCCCCTCAAGAAGAACAATGTCAGACCTAGGAAAAGGACAACAGTACTAATAAAAAAAATTGTATTTACTTAGAAGCATTCAGAATGTCAACAAAACAGCTGCAACTTTTTTTTTTTTTTGCAATTACAGAGTGGTATTCAGTTAACAGAACAACAATTATTTCGTATAAGCTGCATCAGAGACAACTGAAGATGAAAAAAAAACCTACCATCCCCATATATAACTAATTTGTGCTGTGCACCAACAAGATCCTGCTTTAAATTTCCATGCCAATTTACAACCCCCATACTGTACCAGGCAAGGTTAGTGGCTATTGAAAATACCACCAGGACAGGGCTATCTAAAGACACATTCGGTAGTGTGTTAACTATACAAAAAAAGACACTGTACAGTTTAAAAACAAATCTTACACAGCCTTACATTTCAATTTTTTTTCTTTAAAAGGAGTGAGTTGTGCACAGGGGGGTTAAATGCTTTATAGACAAGAAAAAAAACTGCACTAGAGCCAACTTATTCATCATCATCATCTTCTTCTTCATCTTCATCTTCTTCGTCCTCCTCCTCCTCTTCGTCCTCCTCATCTTCTTCATCTTCCTCCTCTTCCTTCTTTTTCTTGCTTTTCTCAGCCTTGACAACTCCCTTTTTGGCTGCATCAGGCTTTCCTTTAGCCCGGTATGCAGCAATATCCTTCAAAAATAAAGCAAAGACAATGGTACGAAAGAAAGGGAATTAAACCAAAAAAAGGGGGGGGGGAGGGGGGAGAATATGGCCAAACTTTATGAAAAATCAAGATCCCAGTTATACCAAAAGATCACGTATCTGTAGCCCTACAATAACGCCACAAATAACCAGGACTTCAAGAAATGCATAGAAATATTATAAGATAATTAATTAGCAACCCGTAACTTATGGAATGGCACGGTCTAATATTTGCAATGTTCTGCCTCACTGAAGCCCAATTACATACCACATCCTAACTTCAGTTTATTAAAACCAGAATGCAGAGACTTTGATTAAAGGGGAGACACTGCCACCTTCTGAATGCAGAAAAGTATTCTACAGGTTTACACTGCCAGCCACCAATCCACAGTAGATAATGTAGTCTTACAAAAAGAAAAATTTGTGAGTAACCATCATACTAGGTTAAGAAACGTCCAGAACAGAACACATTTTTCTGAATAAATGACTAGAAACCTTAAGTTAGAAGCTAAATTTTCGCATTAAGTGCTTAATATACATTCCAATTCAAACGATAGGGATTAGTTTTTTTTCTTTCATTAAGATACTATATAGCTCAAGAGACTTGAAACTGTTTAACTTATTAGTAAAGCTAATCACCATGCCTGACCTTTTAAATAATTTAGAGATTTTTGGGTCAAAGCAGCTATCAACATTTTCACGTATTTAATATGCCAGAGAATATATCAGGTTGAAAACATTAACCATTTATTAAACTGATAACATAAACAATTTGATCTGTATGTACTCTTTGTATAGGACTAAAGACTATACTTAGAACTATAATCTACCTCAAACTCTTACAAACACACAAAATTAAGATGAGGTGTCAAGTGTAACTATTTGGCATACCTTTTCATCAATCTACCAAGCATGTACTTCTCACCTTTTCGTATTTCTCCTTCAGCTTAGCGGCCTTCTTCTCATAAGGCTGTTTGTCATCGGCAGCAGTATTATTCCACATCTCTCCGAGTTTCTTCGCAACATCACCAATGGATAGGCCAGGATGCTCGCCTTTGATTTTGGGGCGATACTCAGAACAAAACAAGAAAAAGGCCGAACTAAAGAGAGAAATTTCAGAATTTTAAGTTAACAGATCGTAACAAAGAATACTATCAAATTGTGTATCGTACTACCACATAAACTCTGCCTCCAATCTCTACCATGTGTTGGACAAGGAAATATTTTAATATGCTAAATAGCCTTCATAACCAAAGCTTAACTTACAATGATTTAACTTATGATACTCCTACTCATACTATTAACATTAAACATAAAATAATAATAAGAATCTCATTTTGCAAATTACCTCATAAAATGTCTCAAGAAATAAAAGGGTCAAAATTACTGGTGAAAGGGGCAAGCATCTAACTCAAATACTCTGGCATCACGTGGGAGTTTTGTTTATTCACAATACTTGAAGATACCAACAGAAGCCATTATTAGCTAAGAAATTTCAATTATACACGCTAAACCCTTCTGATTCTACCATAAAACACTTCTTCAAGACAAAAATAGGCAAGATACTTACGGAGGCCTCTTGGGTGCATTGGGATCCTTGAACTTCTTTTTTGTTTCCCCTTTAGGAGGGATATAGGTTTTCATTTCTCTTTCATAACGGGCCTTGTCCGCCTTTGCCATGTCTTCGAATTTTCCTTTCTCTTTAACAGACATGGTCTACAAAAGAATTATTTGTACAACTAAGTTAATATCAAAATTTTAATAAATTATCCTCAAATATTAAAATGAATGAAACCAAGTGTTCTTTGCTAGTTAGTAGCCTATACCAACATCACCACTCACATTAGGAAAATGGTCACACAGGCCTTTCGTGGATTTTATTATCTTTTCGGTTACATTGCTGGTATGCTATAAGCCCTCTTACCTTCCACCTCTCTGAGCACTTCTTAGAAAATTCTGAGAAGTTGACTGAAGCATCTGGGTGCTTCTTCTTGTGCTCCTCCCGGCAAGTTTGCACAAAAAATGCATATGATGACATTTTGCCTCTTGGCTTCTTAGGATCTCCTTTGCCCATGTTTAGTAATTTTTCTAAAAAATAAAAATAGTAAGACGTTAAGTGTTTGATGTTAACAATGGCATAACATTTTAGAGCACTTTTATTTCTTGGAGAGTGAAGGAACACCAAAGTACTGGTTATTTAACACAGCAGTGACATTAACTTTCCCTAAGACTGGACCAGACGGCAGCAATGATAGCCAATACCTAGGAAAGGCTATGCCAAGCAAAAGAAACGGTCCTTCAGTGTGATCTCCAAAGTGTCGACACCATGGTGTATACTCATTCAGTATTCTTTACAGATTTGCCTGGGGGTGAGCATCTAACCGGCCATTTAAACCATTTTAATCAATTAAAACAACGATCACGAAACGAATGTTGCGATTGAGGGGTTTACACCACAGAAGGAACAAATACGGGAAGATCCAAGGTAAGTACATCTTTCCAAATCATGGGCCTAAACTACCATCTCTAAAGTTTTCCCAGCGATTACTTTCAAAACCATTCTCTTTTGCCTAAAACTTCGCTCGGAGGAGGGAGGCGTGCGGAGCTCGGCCCCGGGCCGGGGGTGGCGGTGGCATCTGCGCGGCTGCCACCGTGAGGCGGCTCAGTTTCCTATCGGTTTGGCCATGAGCTGTTATTTCTGTTCCGACTATACACGTCCGGTCTGAAGTTTCTCGAGTAAACAAGGATGAGGGACAAAAGCCACTCCTGCGAGTTGCTCGTTTTGTTTAAAAAAAATTTTAAACACCTCCCCGCCTCCGCTTAAGGGCACTTGGGGGTATTTTTTTTAATCTATAAAAGTTGGGGTGAAGTGTGAGGCGAGGCCCGGCATTAAACATCTGCACCTTCCCGCCACTTTGCCCTCACCCCCCCGCGCACCCCGAAACTCCGCTTGTGGGGGGCCAGCCGGACGGGGAGGGGGTCCGGCGCCCAGAACGCCCGCCACGTGCGCCCGCTCCCCATTTTGTGGCCGCCCGGCCGCGAAGGAGCGAAATGGGGGCGGCCGGGCGGCGCGGAGCGTTCCCTGCGCGAGATGGGGGCGGGGCGGCGCGGCGCACGGAATGGCCGCCGCGTCTTCCCC